TTTTTCGGTCGCCACATTGGAATGATTTCCTGATGTACTTTCTTCCTCCTCGGCTGAAAATGAAAACAAAACAAAAACAAAGAATTAAATGACATAAGGAATCTACATCGGAGTGGAAAAATGAGCCAGGAAAATCTGGTCCTATCAACAAAATATAACATGGAATATATGCATAAAGCATAACTTCAAACGTAACTGTTGTCGTCTGACATTAAAATGGGGAATGGACTATAGTCTACTAGGCTAAATGACAGGAGTTTGCTTTTAAGGCCGAAGATGAGTTTTGTTCTGCGTTAACGGTTAGCCTAAACTCCTGGTAATTCCTTAGGATTGTCTTGCGGGCGAGCTTGTAACGAGCGAGAGTGAGTGAGATAAACGCGCGAGGAAAATAAAAACCAAAGGAGAGGGAGGGAGGGGGCCACTGAGAATTTAAATGCCTCGGTGAGAAAAGAGATTGCCCTAAATCCTTCTTTTTTCGGCTCTTCCTCGCTCGCTGTGCGTAAAAAAAACCGAAACTGGCCCATTGAACCCTTCACGTGGTCTGTTTATGTTTATGTTTATGCACCTGAATCCAAAGCTGTCTTGATGCTGTCAATCACTTTGGTCATTTGTCTGCTTAACATCTGGTAGGAAAAGAAAACAGGTATAAACCAACCAAAAGAAAATCTGAACTACAATTAATTTTCTTTAAAAAAAAATTGTAGAAAATGAACACTAGTGAGCAGCACAAAGCGATGCAATCATCCTGTAAACTTGTTTTATTTCTCTGCCCCGTTTTAACTGATCACACAGGCTTCGTAGGAACAAACCTTTATCTCCTAAACTTGCCGATAAATATGCACTATCGAGATGAACTTAACATCGACGGAAGTAAGCATGTTTTCGCTTGTTTAAATAAACTAAGAATTATTTTGAATGAATAATAAATCAATTATTGAATTCGGCTTTCGTATCATCTGAGGAATTATGGAGATCGAGGCCCGGCTCAACACCCTCGTCGATCTCCATAATTCTTCAGATGATACTCAGCCTCATTCAACAATAATTATTAAATAACACCACCGATACTAACAACAACTTGATTTAAGGGTTTACAGCAACTGGAGAAATCATGATGTGAAAAATCATCCCTTGGCGAGTTGCGACAATGAAGTGTTTTCAACACAGGGAATATGACGTGTTCATGGTGACTGAACTGATTGGTGGAAGCCTGTGACTGATAAAATTCAGAGTCAAATGTTGGTGATGAGATTACAGAAAGGGATGCCTGTGAAAAATGCATACAGAGTCGGAGCGATTTTAAAGGGGCTGTATCACGACTATCAAGTTCATTTAGTTAATATTACCAATTATGCGTCTTTATGTGCTATGGAGTGGAGGCGAGTGTCGCCGAGCGGTTAACATCTCGAACTCCAGATCTGAAGGTCTAGGGTTCAAGCCTCGCTTGTCGCATTGTTTTTTTAGACAAGGAACGTTACTCCACTTTGTTCCTCTTCACGAAGGTGTATGAATAGGTACCGGCGTCATACTGCTGGGGGTAACCCAGCGATGGACTAGCATCCCGTCCAGTGGGGAGTAGCAATACTCCAAGGCATACTTCATGCTAAAGAAACCGGGATAAGCTCCGGCCGTTTGGGCCTTTGGCTCGTGTGGGCCTTTACTTGTTATACAGTATGGAAGCCAAGAAATTACTCAGAGACACCCAACGATCTTTTTCTGGGAAATGATCTGAAATGCCTCTTTAGACTTCCTAGAGTGCTTTAAAAGCAATATAAATGAATAATTCCCATCGCTAAAAAAATGGATCTCTTCGGTCGTCCTAGGAGTGTTTTAAAACTCGCAAATTCTTTAGGGCTGTTTTTCGCCTTTCCCGAAAATAACAGCCTACATTGAAAGCTTCACGAAAACGTAAGACTACCTGACGAGCTTTTCCCTTAGCCGAAATTTTTAGGGGTCGTTTTATATTTTGCTCAAAAACTTTATCTATTGTGGGAATGTCTTCGAATTTTCTAGGGCGACGTAGCATGTATAAAAAAAACTAGGTTTTCAAAAACGTTGAGATGGGACAATCTTCTTCCAAGTGCTACAGTTTGAGTGTCTTCACTGTAACAATACAAGAGCCAAATACACATAATTTTTATGCACCGTTATCTCTTCGAACATCCCTTTTTCCTCATCTTCCTTCACAATCATTTTAATTAAGACTTTACTTCAATATACAGGGGCACCCAACGATTGTTTTCTGTAAAATATCTGTTCGGAGATGCAAATATTGCCTAGCATTTTCTATTACTTGAGGACGGCTAAAAATTTCTAGAAGAACGTTCCATTCAAGTACAATTTTCGTAACTTATCAAGCTTTATCTCACAAATTCCCTAAGATTTTCTGAAGTTTAATTTTTATATTTTACTAACCAGTTTATACTATTTTTTGTAGGCAAAGGAAACCTAAAATTTTCGGATTCTAAAATGTGATGGAGAGAGTAATCACAAAATTTCTCACTTTCGTATAACGTTTAATTACACCTAAAATTTTCGGGAACATAATACTAAAGCCCTCGTAAATTCGATGACCCAACTGATAAAAATTTTGTAGCACTGCTTAGAATATATTTTTAGAGATCTCAAGACACTCTGGATAGCCTAAAAGTGTTTTAAACATATTTTGGAGAAAACCGACGTTGGGTACCCCTGAATACACTTTAGACTGCTTCTGCCAACCAAAGTTGACAACAATTTCACTGCTACACGTTGCATTCTAAATTTTTCAAATAACTTTAGTGATCATTTCTTCCTTCAGTGGTCGTTTCTTTATTTTTTTGCACACCCTTTAGAATTGATTAAATCCAGTTATTATAAACACCAATGAAATACTAAGTGGGCTTCCGCACGAAAACTTGATATCTTCACATGTGAAAATAACATGTTATCTTCAAATGTGAAATTATCGCCGTTGTTATGGCTTCATAATAAACCGCACCTTCAGACCAAAAAACTATTTAAATAAAATGGTTTGGTATTTCATTGGTGTTTACATGGTCGCTTGGAGATACAAAATTTCTCTTCTCGTGGTGAAAAAAAATATTTCACTCAATTGCTGCGCTCACTCGTGAAATATTTTTCAACACTCGAAGAGAAATTTCGTATCCCTGCGCGACCATGTAATATCCTCTCTTTATTTTGTTATTAAAAATTAATTACCTTGTCTACCCTTGGTACATGGACTGACTGGCTCATCATTTGAGCGACGCTTGGTTTAATAAATGATATCTGCTCTCCTTCTGTCACACCAAGGAACTGTTGAAGGTCTTCACTGTTTCGCAAAGGTGGCTTGGATATCAGGCTCTAAAATCATTACAATTATTCACTATTAATATGACTTCTTATGTAACTGTATATCAGGGTGCAAAGAAAGTCAGTTTTACAGCTTGCCCAAACAGATAGCATGTACCAGTCCAAGAGTCGTTTTAACTAGCCTTACCCTCCAAAAAATGGACAAACAGTTAAATAATAACTAATTTATCATTATTTAGTACTTAATTGCAACAACTTTATTAATTCATTGTAATAATTATTACTATAATTTCACTTTGTCAGATAAGCTTGAAAAACAGCTTTCAACTTGACACATGATTTTTCTTAGGAATTTAAACAACAGAAAAAAATAATTGACTTTAAGTACACTGTACTCAGAAATCTGTAATTTGAAGTCCCCCAAAAAACTTGTCAGGCAAATTTTAAAGAGCAAAATTCACTAGCCCAATCCCAAAATCCACTAGTCCTGCAAACTCTCTCTTAGAGACAGACACCTTTGGCTGACATACTAAAAGTTTCACTGGCTGCCTCGCTAAATGGAAGGTGGGTCCCTAGGATATCCAGGGATCTCCACTGTGGCCAACCAGCCCCTAACTGTGATAGCATTTAAAATGTGGCCGTTGGCTGTATCAATGGGTGACGACATTAGCAGGGGTTTTTTATAACAAAATGCATGCCATTTTGCCGGACAGAAAAAAGTTGCCTTAATAAAGGTGGGGTACTACTGTACATGTAGTGCTGGTCCCAAATGCAATCATTTTAGAGAAAGTTGTCAGAAGCAGTTTCTGAATAAAATAAATAGTTTGCTGGATCTCACCCTTAAATAATTCTGCAGCAGATCCCTTCTTCCCTCTACAACATCGGGATCTAGTCTTCCAAATGGCAAATTGTATCTTCTGTTAGGCTTCAGAATATCTGTTAAAGTCAGAGGAAGTTGATTAAAAGGGGAGTATAAACAGCTAAACAATTTTTTACAACTATTGCCTACTGAAATAAGCTTATGTGCATTGCAAACGGAGTGTACCACCATCACTTTCACGACTATGCCACCTATCAACACTTCAATCCTAGCAGTATACAGAATGTTTGTCACATGAGCGTCGTTGGTATTGGCTCCCATGATCCCCCTGTAATTTAGCAGTAAAGCATCCGGAATAGTAACCTGGTGTCTGTTTTTCAAAAGAAACTTAGTGATGGATAATGCTACATTGTGTATCTACTAGATAAGCCGCTAGAATGTTCAATAATATTGGTTTCCGTGACACTTATCCACTGGATATTGATTTATCTGGTGGATAGGGCTTTCCAGCTTTTGAAATTTGAACAACTGAGGCCAGAAGGCCATGCCTTCAACTCCTATTAAGAGAAGCCCTTTTAAGGATTTTTTGNAAAAGTTTCACTGGCTGCCTCGCTAAATGGAAGGTGGGTCCCTAGGATATCCAGGGATCTCCACTGTGGCCAACCAGCCCCTAACTGTGATAGCATTTAAAATGTGGCCGTTGGCTGTATCAATGGGTGACCACATAAGCAGGGGTTTTTTATAACAAAATGTATGCTGTTTTGCCGGAGGGAAAAAAGTTGCCTTAATAAAGGTGGGGTACTACTGTACATGTAGTGCTGGTCCCAAATGCAATCATTTTAGAGAAAGTTGTCAGAAGCAGTTTCTGAATAAAATAAATAGTTTGATGGATCTCACCCTTAAATAATTCTGCAGCAGATCCCTTCTTCCCTCTACAACATCGGGATCAAGTCTTCCAAATGGTAAATTGTATCTTCTGTTAGGCTTCAGAATATCTGTTAAAGTCAGAGGAAATTGATTAAAAGGGGAGTATAAACAGCTGAAAATTTTTACGACTACTGCCTACCGAAATAAGCTTAAGTGCTTTGCAAACAGAGTGTATGACCATCACTTTCACAACTATGCCACCTATCAACACTTCAATCCTAGCCGTATACAGAACGTTTGTCCCTTGAACCTCATTGGTATTGGCTCCCACGATCCCTCTGTAATTTAGCAATAAAGCATCCGGAATAGTAACCTGGTGTCTGTTTTTCAAAAGAATTAGTGATGGATAATGCTATCTACTAGATGAGCCGCTATCCACTGGATAGAATGTTCAATAATATTGGTTTCCGCGACACTTATCTACTGGATATTGATTTATCTGGTGGATAGAGCCATCCAGCTTTTGAAATTGGAACTACTGGGGCCAGAAGGCCATGGCTTCAACTCCTCTTAAGAGAAGCCCTTTAAAAGATTTTTTTAGATCGGATAAAGTGAGGTTTCTGGGTAACTGACCACTTACCCCTCCCTTAAGTCAACATTAACACTTACTTCTCACTAAGGGCAAAATTGTGACTTAGGAGAGGGGTAGGTGGGCAATTATCCATTATTAACACTTTAGACCCCAATATCCACATACAAATTCTCCAAACTGATCTCTATACATTTCCTTAAAGAATAAGTTGAGAGAATTTGATAAAAGATCAAAGCATTTTCTCTTAGGTGATCATTTTATGAATTCTCATAACCTCATCTCTTGACAGTGTATGGATATTGTTAGGAGAAAATTGCTGTTGGTCACTATTGGGACTTAATGGGTTAATAGAAACCTCATTTTTTTTTTCTCCTGTGTCATACAAGGATTAAACTCATCACCAGTAAATGAGATCGTGTGCTGGTGCCTAAAAGGTTGAAGGAGCCAGGCAATGATCTAGCATGAGGAAGAAGGCATCTGTGGCAACCCAGTAAGCGGCCTCCACCATGACAACCCAGCCAGTCTGGTCAACTGGAATCCAAGATTCAATTGAGATGGCATTATACAAGGATGAGAGTAACCTTGGCAGAGAAAACCAGCACATGCAGCAGCCTCCATCAGCACTTAAGGGTCCATGACCAACCTTGTCATATTTATCTACTAATTTACTACAAAATGTATACCTTTCATGTGAACAGCAAGCTCTCCACTCATCAGTCGATTGTGAAGCTCCATAAATTCCCTGTACCGTCTATTAATTACTCGCCTTAGAGGAACATTCTGCTTTATTCTATCCAAAGAAATTTCTTCATCATCCTCTTTGCTGTCTTTGTCATCTGCATACAATCTTCTCTTCATCTGCTCTTTCTTAGCTTCACGCTTGGCCTGTTTTACTGCTGCAGTGTAGACCTCATGCCAAATCCTTATGTCATACTGTCAAGAGAAGTCATAGCGTCAGTAAGCTTAGCTATTCTAAGGGTGCGTTTCTTTGGAATGATCTGGATCAGGATCAGTGATCTGAGATGCCGTAAAATTCTGAAAATAAGCCCCTCCATATATAAGCCCCTACAAAATTAATATAAGGCCCCCCAAAATGGTAATGCAAAAAAACCCTTCGTTAGATCACTCCTCCAACTATAAGCCTCCCGGGGGCTTGTACTTGGAAAATTGCCATCAAATACAAGTGAACTTGGATCAATAATCCTGATCCGGATCATCTCAAAGGAATGTACCCTAGGTATTATAAAATCCCTTCTCAAGTTATTTTTTACCAAAAATTTATTTTGTCTCCTCTAAAATTAATATGACTGCATGTCAACTTCATACTTCAATTGTTTCAATACATGATCAGGATGCAAAGAAAGTCAGTTTTACAGCCTGCCATTCAGGCAAGCTGTAGCTAGCATATACTAGCCCACAAGTCATTTCAACTAGCCCCAAAACCCTTTTTGATTAGCAGGATTGATTACAATCCTTCTGCAATTTGAATTACCCAAAATACAGCACTTGCCCCTTGGGCAAGTTAAGAACAAAAATCACTAGCCCGATAGCAAAATCCACTATCCCAGGCTGCCGGACATGACCTTCTTTGCACACTACATGATGAAACACAGCACAGAATTTATAACCCCACCGTTTCCCAAGTTTTGAAAACACTTTAAAGTTGGGATATTACATGCTCTGAAAACAGGGAAGTGTTAAGCTTGTCTTTTCATTATCTACACTGTACACAGAGTTGACGAAAGCATAGTGGATAACAAATGGCTGGAAGCTAAGCACAAGAGCATTGAGGGCTCTAAATTATTGTTATAGTCAAAGTGCTATGTGCTAGTCTCTTATCAGACAGTACTGTTTGTAAATCAAAAAGAAGATTCAACTAGGAGTTCATGTATATAAATACTGCATTTAGCAACACAAGAGCAAGTTATTATAGTCAAAGTGCTTTGATAGTCTCTTATCGGACAGTACCACTTGTAAATTAAAAAGGGGATTGAACTATGAGTACATGTATATAAATACTACATTTAGCATAAATGTTACAGAACTGCTAACTGACCTCTATTTTGTAGAGAGTGTATTTATTTCTTCCTGGTTCCCAAGTGGTCTCCAAAGCAACAAACGTAATGGGGATAGAAATCAGTTCACTGGGGTGCATTCTTTTAACTCGCATTATGGAACTGTCGACTTCATCCTTGCCTTTGTCATTGACACCTAAAGCCTCTTGTGTCCAGTCATCTCTGGGTGTCCCATACCAGGTGTCTGTATCACTATTGTCCATTGACTCTTCTACCACGGCATCACTCCTGGACAGTCGTCTTATGCCGCATGAAGTGTATGTTGCAGCTCTGCCTCTTCCAACAGCTAAGCTTGCCCCTTGGGGTGATATCTCCCTCTGATTTGCAGAAGAATGGTCCAAAGATTCTTCCCCCGATGAAATGCTTGCCTCTGAAGATTTTGTGCTGTTACTACTGAAACTATCAAATTTAAAGGGTGGCTTGAAATTTGAAACAAGTTTCTTACTGGCCGTAATAAATGCATCACTTATCGATGAATCTGAACTCTGACCTCCAAACCCCAAACGTAAACGTTTCCATCGTGTAGAAGGGTCATCTGCAACATTGTCCCTATCTGTTGCCTCCCATGAAGACTCCTTGATGCTATCAAGCTCTGAAGAGCCATTCTTGTTTCTCAATATAGCCTTCTTAGGACTGGAAATTTCTTGGCTGGAGGAGGGGAAAGCACATTCAGAAGTAGCTAACTCTTTTGCTACTCCTGAGGACAAGTGTTTTCCCGGACATTCCTCAAATGAGACTTGTTTGGTAATTCTGCTCTTTGTTGATTTCTTAGTAACTACCCCAAAACTGTGAGCTCCATCAATGCTTGAGTGAAAGTCATCAGATTCTTCCAATGCTTCTTCCCCAAGCTCAATGTATGAATCTAAAATATCCTCTTCACTTGAAACAGACTTAAAACTGTCAGAACTGCTGCAGAAGCTCCCGCTACAAATGTGAGGGCTATAAATTTTTCTAGGGCTCTTAGGTGTATAAAACTCCTCCGTGTCTAGGTTGTCATAATGTGCTAACGAAAGATTACACGGCACACTTTCAGATCTTGGAAGATTTCTATGAGCTTCAGTCTTGTTTTCAGATTCTGGAAGAGAAAATCTTCGTGTGGTAACTCTAGAACATGGCGTATCACCTGTTTCATCAGATTCTTCATCACTACTCCCCTTTTGTGCAACCAATGAGAGAGGACGGTAACTGTCTCCACTTGCCTCAAATTTATGGCAACAAGACATAGTCATCTCTTTCCAACTGTGAAGAGCTCCGTTACTTTCTGAGAGATGCTCTTTCATTTCTTCAAAACTCTTTCTTCTGAATGACTCGTCCTCTGATGAAGGGCAAACCATCCATGAGGATGACAAACTGCTTGATGTAATGCTCTCTGTTGAGTGTGGAGCAACAGCCTCCATTGACCAGTTATTGTCGCTATTACTTTGATCTGACGAGGTGTTCTCTTTGCTGTCCTCCACTGATGATGGTGGAACTACCTCTGTTGACCAATTACTCCTTCCTTGATTGAGGTCTTTGGTGCTATTTTCTCTGCTTTCATCCACAGAAATAACTAAAAATGAGTCTCCACTGTCATGCTGACTTTCTCCAACAGGAGGCTGTCTCTCTGTGCTTACAGACCAGCGGAAATCAGGACTTTCCACACAAGCACCAGGTGCAGTAATTTCAATTCTTTCTCCAATATCTTCCACAGACTCTTCACTTTCTTTCCTACTAATAATTTGTTCAATAGCTGTTCTCTGCATATCTACAGCTGTTGTTTTCTCACTTAACAAGGGAAGATTAACTTTGCCAGCTGCATGTGGTTCATTTGCGCAACTTAAACTATCGCAGTGATCCTCTGTTGTAAGACAATCATGTTCTTCTTTGGCTGTGGACATGCTTTTCCTATCACCTTCGTTTTGCTTTCTGAGGATCTCAATCACAGCTTGGCAAATCCAATCAGGGTCTGTTAAGAGTTGTACAAGAGGTTCCACAACTTGTACAGTCAAAATCTCCCGCAAAATAAATCTTCCAGTATCACAACTAAACGTGTCCTTTGGGATCATTGCCGCTAAAAGCGAATCGACCACATTTCTTAAATAACTGAGTTCGGCAGCAGAACTTGACAAAGACGGTGGCTTGGAATACAGCTGTGATTCGTACGTTTGACATAACAGTTGTGATGAGCTAATGCTGAGTCGGAGTTTCGGATCCTTTGCTTTCACGATCGCCATCGCTTTGTTAAATCTCTCCAAGTGTCCGTGAAAGACCACTATAACCTGCTCGATTAAATAATGTGAGTCTATTTGCGATCCGCGCTTGTAGCCTTCCAAACATAACATCTCCAGTGCATCCTGGGTTTCAGAAATGAAGAGTTCTCCTTCTCCGACATTTTCGTACCATGTGCGAATAAAATCGCGGATGACGTTGTCTATTAACTTTTTAAATCCCTCTTCCAGAGCTTTTGGAACCTCGTCGAGGCTGTTAAAGGAGCCATTTGAGTAGAACGACGAGTACCCGATGCGGTTTTCCAGCCGATGAGGAGCTCCAAACCCAAATAACTCGACAGCTTTGAAAAACTCCTCGAATAATCCATCAAGGCCCCATTTATTGATGATGAAAAGGCACGTGAAGCCATAACTTACGCCAACCAGGAGAATATAAATCAATAAAGTCTTTAGGGAGCACCCGATGAAAAAAAGACATGATAAAACCACGAAAACAAGCAGCCAGCCCATGTTACGCCATGTTGTACCCTGCTGGTTTATTTCGAACAGCTGAGTTACCTCGCTGACCTCGCTGTATCACAGGATAACCAAGAAAAATACCCCCGAATTTTTGCCCATTTTCCACCACTGTTTCGTTCATAGTGGATATTCATCAGCGACGAAAAACAAGATGTCTGAAGAAAATCCAAGTTTCACAAATTAAAATTGAAATTGGGTACATTTTCGTTTAAAAATAGAAATGCGGCAACGTTGGACAACCTGTGAGCCAGCTGAAGCTTACATGTACCTTGGCATCCGCGCCTTCAAGTTTCTGTTGACAAGGATCTAAATTTTTGAAGGATGGCGGACCGAAATTTTTATTCTGTCAAAACAGCGCTTCGTGTAGGAATAGTACAGATGCTGAATGGATTGATAAGCATCGGGATTGGAGCTTACAATACAAGAAAGGAAGATCATAATGCTTTTCTGACGTTTAAACCAGAAGGCCTTCCAGTCTGGTCTGGAATATTGGTGCGTATGTTATCACATCCGTGATCAACGTTTGTTTGAAATCATATTATACATGCATGAAGCGGTCGTTACTGAAGAGGAATTCTCACGTATAAGTACAATGTAAACGATATCAAATTCGAATATTCGTGCAATTTGCAATAATTCTTTAGGATCGTCATAGGAACCCACAAAAGTCTTCTGAAATTTCTTCATTGCGTTGTCAATATTTCGCGATCGAATCATTATGTAAGCTTCTAAATTTTGTTTGTAATTTATGTTTAAATAATAATTTATTCCTTATGACTTCCTTTAAAATAAAACGAAATTTCAGCGAGTACAACCTTTGGCCTAATCAATAGCCTTAGAGAATCACAGTCTGTTTTTTTAAAACATCCGATCTGTAATCGACCATAAATGTATCACCGGATATTGTGTGAAGCAAGTGTGAAGCGAATTGCACTATAAAATTAAAACGAAACGCCCAACAAATAAAAAAATCCAGTAGTTGGCACAGTTAAATTGTGGTTTGAAACATTGCGTCAATAATATATAAAGGTTATCTTTTCGGTGGTTTCTGTTTTTTCCTCTTTCAGTTTCTTGTCACTGGAGGTATTGGATGTCTCAGCTATAAAAGACCAAAAAAACTTACAGTGAGTTTGGAAATCTTTATTTATAACCTGACTTTAGTATGATTTGATGCGCGTCTAATGTACAGCTAACAGTTGGTCATGTAATCAGCTTTTGTAAATGCACAAGTGTGCATTCTGGAAAAAGAATTTTTAGCAGGATGGGAATAGCATGAGCATGTAAAAATTAACCCAGCAGTATGTCTAGTCCTAGGATTTCAAAGCGCACAGTTCCGTGCCTGAGATCATGGGAACCTATTTGGTTTTTTAAAAGCTGTGGGGAACTTATTTTTGTTTCTATGTCATGCATGTTTCTCTTTAGTCTCAATGAGAAAACAGCTCACCCATGGAAATAATGTCATAGGATCGGACACAGAAATTTCATACTGATGAGGTGACACTACCCAGATCTTGGTGTTACTTCTGATTGGTCGCACTTCAAGGGAAATTTGCTTCAGCCAATCAGAAGCACTATCCAGAGCTGGGTAGTGACACATCATTATGGAATTTCTGCAGTCATTTCTCAAACCTCATTTGGCATGGCAACCAGTGGTGGTATCCCAAAATGTTGGCTGTTTCCTCAAGTCATCAAGTGAGTACAATTACACTTTTTGTTGTTGTTTTCAGATTCATGTCTACTTGATATTCTGCGTTTTGACGGTTATCACAAGCATCCTAATGTTCTGGCTTGTCATGCCCATTATTGTGAATGACAATCGGGAAGTATCGTGGAACATGTTTTTTGGTTCATTTCTTGGCCTTGTTGCAATAACATTTGTTGTCAGCATGAAAGGATCATTTGTGGCATTTAAAGCATCATTTTTTCAGTATAACTGCTGTAATAAAGTTCCACAATTACAGGTGAGTGAGTCTCTGCAAGAGCAGAGAGAAATAGTTAGCCAGGGCTCTCATTACATTTTTGTAACCTTTGAAACTCCAGCCGTAGCAAATAAAGATCCACCTATAACATCTCAAAAAATTTATAGTATCACCTTTGGCTTTCAACTTTGATCACCCATAGCATCAAGTGAGCTCAACAGTGTTTCAGACCTTACGACCCTTAATGACAGCTCTGTCAACCCTATTTTTGATCTGAACTTCTGCTACCGGGTTGTAGGGTTTCAACTAATTTTACTTACTGAAAAGTTGATGGTCTCAGAAACTTTTCATCTGGTTTCAAAGTTTTGGAACCATTTTTGATGAGTCCCAAAGTCTTGGTTTTGCAAGTTCCCCTGAGTCTCAGATTTTGTGAACCTTTTTACAGCAAAGACTCATTAAAGTCTTGGCTTGGTTAGCCTCCCATATGCGGACAACCTTAGGGCTTTATCACACATTCCTAGGGAGCAAAGATTACCGAATGAACCAAAAGAATGTCTGTTTGGGAGGTTACGTCTTGGCCACTGGATGAGTTTCAGATTTTACCATCCACCAACCGTAGTTGTGAATATAATTATAAAAATTTATATTTGGAAGGAAATTAATAATCAACATTAGAACATTACTGTAAGCTCTCCATTAGCCTCCCTCTCGTTCAAGCCTTACCTCTCCAAGTCCCCCGTTTTAACAGTCACCCTTTAACAAGCTACAGTTTGATTTGTAGCATTAAACAGTTGCTAGATCTGAACACAACTTCCAGAAAACAAAAATCTATATTAGTGTTAAATAAGCCCACCCCCATTTATCTGTTTATCTGAGGTTACCCACTACCCGGTCCCCATGGAATTACAGATCATTATTCATTTCAGGGAAACTGCTCACATACCCCTCCCCTAAGCCAAAATTAACACTAATTACTTCTCACTTTAATAGGGCAAAATGTTGGCTTAGGGGAGGGGTAGGTGGGCAGTTTCCCAGAAACATATAGTGATCCGAAAGTTTCTGGAACTATGCATGTTATTTATGTTTTGCTAGTATATATCTTGTTGCTTGCTGATTTTTTTCTTTTTGTTAGGGTAATTCTCAACCCGTTGAACTTAATTCATCACTTGCGCCTATGATCTCATCAACACCAGCTGTATTAAATGACACCCGTGAAGAAATAAGAGAACAACGAAGAGTAAGCGTATTTTGCTATATTAGGGTGTGATTTTCCAGAGCTATCCAGAAAGGGGATGTAGAAATAAGGGTTGGAGACAGTACTAAGGAAATCATGAGTTTTGGTAGCCTCCCCACAGACGTCCTTTGGGGTTGGTTTGTCAGGTATACCGTGGGGGAGAAATGAATGCATGACAAACGAACCCCAAAGGACGTCTGCGGGGAGGCTAGAGTTTTGGAGAATTTTCTGCTCATCTGGAAATCTCAGAAATACTGTGATGTCTCTTTGTGTCCTTAGTTCCATAGTGGATAAAAGTCTCAGATTTTAAACGTATCATTTGGCGTTTCTGGGAAACTGCCACCTACCACTCCCCGAAGCAAACATTAACACCTACTTCTCACTTAGGGCAAAATGTTGGCTTAGGGGAGGGGTAGGTGGGCAGTTTCCCAGAAACGTGTAATGATCCTTTTTAATTAGGGTCTTGATCAGGGCTGTGCTCTAGCAGAGCCCGGTGACCCCTGGCGCCTAACTTTTGCCCCCGGGCGACTAGAAAATCTCAGATTTTTCATACAATTAATATGCTGGGCACCCTAGATTTTACAGTTTCAGGGCACTGGGCTTCCTTCAATTTTCCTTAGTGCACAACCCTGTTGATATCTCGCGAGTCTAAGTTTTACCTAACAATCTCTAGAGATCGAAATCTCTGCAGATTTGAATCTGGAGATTTTCCTCTTTTGCGCTTCTCATTTCCAATCATCAACTCAACCTACCCCCAAGGAAATTCTTTCTTTCTTTTCTTCATGTAATCAAACCGCCACATATGTTTGCAAATGGTTAGATACCAGGTTAGATGGTATCATGGTTTTAATGGTTAGATCAAAGTGCCGCCAGAAACTGTAACGTGCATTAATTTTATAGACCCAAATTTAGTGGTGTTTTTTTAAAATTTGGGATTGCCGTTTTTACTCAAAATAGCGCCCCCTCGAAGCCCTTTAGAGCAAAAATAGTAACAAGCATCGCTAAAAGCATATAACCATACATGCTTCTGGTGTTGCCCAAGCGCTCAAACGCTCCTAGCAATAAGGTATCGCTTTGTGATTATCAGTGTCTTTTAATGCTGATCACTGATTAAAATGGGAAGTATCTCACATAAACTAACTTTTGTTGTGTCTCTCTCGCCTTACAGCCCCACACCCCCATTCCCTTTTGAGAGCTCAAGCTATGCGGCTCCGGAAGAAGCCCTGCACCGAAAAGTTGATAAATTTAATAAGCGTCGCGGTGCTTAAAGTCTCAGATTATAGTTCCTAAAACTCAATTATGTCCATTTTATGTCCTTTTGCTGACCCACATGGGAGACCAAAACCAACCTTATGACTTTGCTCTTATTGCAGACGTCAAGGTCATCTTCGACGACAAGTCCTACTTCTTCAGCACATCGCCCATATTCTCAACACCCTCACAGACAACACAGAAGAAGAGATCGACCAAGCCAGAGGGGGGTGGAGACGCAATCGAGAATAGCGCGATATGATGAGCGACCCCCTCCTCCCCCGTACCAGACACTGCCAAAGCTTCCGCACTTGCCTGGCTACACAGAAGTGGACGTTTCCCTTCCACCTCCCCCTTATATAGAGAAACAGGAAGGCAGATAACCTCGACATAAAGCAAACCCTTGACAGCGGTTCTTGCCATTGTTGTGTGAAACGTCTGGTTCCGGTGACTGCGGTCAGTCCTTCGATGCTTTTCTGGGTCCTTTCGGAGATCTTTGGAAGTCCTCGCCCATGTACGGTATATGGCCGGAATTTTCGGTTATGTTCCTAAATGCCACTAATCAAGTAGACTACAAAGCAGCCCCT